AGGATTATATATATAAGGCATTATGTGAATACATGTCAGACTATAAAAGAATGGTTTGAAGAGTTAGGAATGATAGCGAAAAAAAATGGAAAAGAAAATGGGGTGACGAGCTAAATGAAGAGAAAGGCAATATGTCGAGGAAACTGTAGAGCGAAAGAGACAAGTGGTTGAGAGAGATTAAAGAGGAGAAGGTAAAACTGGGATAAGGTTGGGAATATGTATGGATGGGATGTAAAAAGGGTAGATTATGACGAAGGTGTAAAGGAGTCGAGAAATAACAGTACAATATTGTGATAGGAGACAGATAAGTAGAAAATAGAAAAGTATAATATAAGTAGAAAAAGATTTAATATAAGGTGTGGACGGATGAATATGGTTAAGATAATGCTTTTTTTGTAACCCAAGTTTTCCCTTCTTAGCAATGTAGCTAAAGTAATATCTATCTATATGTATTTATTTGCAAATCAATCTATTTTCCCCATTATAACATACCATACTTATGTAACTGGTGGTTTAGATATATATATATACAGTACTGCAATCAGTAAAACCTCGCTGAAAGGATCAATTAATAGCAGCGACTGCACCCATTATCAATGCACTTTGAAAATGCAGACAGCATCATCGCACGCAAGGCGCATGTAAGCCGTTAATTCCATCGCCGCAAGAAAGTTGGATCGGGTGTATAGCGTATACGAGTTTATGTACTACAGATTTTGCGCGGAAATCTTATTTCCATACGAAGAGAATCATGCAGTAAAAATTACTGTACAACTTTTTGAATAGATCGATTCCGCAGCGATTATCTATCGCTTTATTCCATGTGTGCTATCGTCGAAATGATCTCCACGAAAAGTCTAAAGTCTCCCTGCGAAAATTTTATTAAAAGTGCACAAAACACCTGCGATTAGCGTGCAATTTTATGATCACTATCTCGCAGCTTGAAAGCAAAAGGCGCTGCGCTGCGACGCTTATCGAAGAAAGTCGTGTGCCCGATAAATACTTAAGCATTAAACGCCAAACTTCGCAATCGAGTTTCTCAGTAATGCTCGAGAAGCGTGCCTTCTCGCTTATACAGTTAGTCACATAATTCATGCGTTTGCAGAACATGGAGAACAATCGGCGAGTCGCGTGTCACGAGTTGCTGCTGCTGCTGTTACTGTTACTGCCGCCGTCGCGAGCCGACACGCGGTCTATCTCTCTCTCTCTCTCTCTCTCTCTCTGAATTCATTCAGCCGATCGGCGGCAATCGACAACGAGATCTCTCATCGCGTCGCGCGATCTCGAACTCGCGAATAGAATGCCGACAGCTGAGATAAGAACGCCGAGGAAAGGGCGCCCCGCCGCAGTCGTCGTCGTCGTGCTCCTCCTTTGAAAGTGCACGATGACATTTGCTTAGCGCCCGACCGGAATGGCGCGAGCAGCTTAATCCGAAACCGTCATACCCGACAACGAGATTTAGCCACCGAGAGATCCCTTTGCGGAGCGTTTCTTTTTCTCTTGCCTGCTGTCCTCTCTCTCTCTCTCTCTCATTTTTTTTATCGCATCCGCGACCACGAGGCAACCTCTGAGCGACGTCAAGCTCCCGCATTTTGCCCTTTCGCTATCTTGTTTTGTCATGAATAAAAGTCAAGAAGGCAGGCGGCAAGCCGCGGAGCGTGAAGAGCGCGAGTTTGCGGAATCGCTCGGCGGAATGGAGAGTTTCAAACGGAAGACACGACGGGAAAGAAGCGCGACGACACATGTATCAAACGCGATGCCAAGCTGACCAAGATGAGTCGCGCGAGCAACCCTCATTTACGACCAAAATGAAGTTAAAGTGTGATCATCACGCGTCTACCGTACGTCTACGACGTGTGATCATTCGCGAATCTTCTTTGACCAATAACTCAAAATTTTACGTGGCTTTTTAAAAAAATGGTAGAAAGATTTTTTGTCCAATTTGATCTAATTTACATCCTCACGAACGGTGACACCATTGTTCTGGGACACCCCGTATAATAATACACGAGAAAAAATGTTCAATTCGTGCAACTGAATGGGCGAGAAATAATATCTTCACGTTATTGTGACGCAAAACATCATTCGAACATTCAGCTGTATCAAAACTCAGTTGAGATAACTAAGCAACTGATTGAGTAGAAACCTTCTACGGGAATCTTTCTATTCACACAACCGAGTTTTTCATCTGGTCCCTGAGTAACAGAAAATTCAGTTACACTAACGGATTTGTTTTTTTTTCGTGTAGGTCTGCTCGTTTCAGCTGAACTAGGTTACACTTTTTGCCGTTACAGTGGTACGTAACCTTTGAAGGGTCACCAAGTGTTTTTATTAAATCATTACGCAAATATACATGCTTTGAAGGGAAAAGGAACCAAGTTTCAGTGCAACATCACATAGTTTAGTTACAAAACAGGCAACGTAACAATATTGCAGGCTTGGAATATGAACACGCACATAGATTTCCATAACTATTGCGACGTGACACAGATGATAGAGACACCACGATTTTTTCATTACATTTATGAAGCGAATATACTCTGTACTGAATTAATCATTAAATTTACATCGTACAATGTAAATTTCTATCGCACAATGTAAATTTTTTTATTATATTCGTGCAGTAGCAAATTTTTCTAAAAGTTACACTCTTTCCATATTGCATTTTACCCACAGATTTTCATATCACATTTTATATATACTCTTAAATTTTCATATTACATTTTATATATATTATTTTGATCAAACTCTCTTTCATCATTTCTTTTATATTTCTATTTTGATCTTCTATTCAATAAATATAAGAGTTATATCCGACTAGAAATTTATCCCATGGTCCTGATTAATAATCGTTATTATCAATAAAGTCTTAATTACCGCGCTGCGTTATGTGATTTATACTTAAACATTTATTTCTAGAATATAAATGTTTATTTTCTTAAAAATAAACTTTATTTTATAGAAACAAATTTTATTTCACAGAAATACTTTATATTTCACAATATTTAGTTGCTGCCAAATTTACGTACACCAGTCTGGATATTTCATAAGGACTATTGAATTTCGATATAACTGTCACCGATTAATCACATTTTCATGCTTCAAAATGGCCTGAAACATCTGGAAGCCAAAGAGCTTTCCTAGTTTCAAGTGCTTTGTGTTATCATACATCTATTATTGCAATGAAACGAATACGACCGCGCGGACGAGAGAAGCGCCATTTTCCCCAGAAAATGTTTACGCGTTAAATATAATCACGCCTGTTCCTACAATCGAGTGACCGGCCACGTTTGGCACTACGATCAAACTGTAGAGGAAATGTAACGTTTATGGGTCACGATTACACCCACGTTCTTCCACCCCCTCTCTTTAACTTCATCTTACGATCGACAAGCTCGTGCCATTTCGTCGATAAGCAACCAGTCGAGGCACCTGGGAGGCACGCGTCTTTTCGTGCATTTCGCGAGGACACGCAATTGCTGACAAGGAAAGAAATCGAAGGAAATAAAAGAACGCAACTCGCAACTTTTTCACGCCGAGTTCCTAACGGCTCATTGGGACGATGCGTCAGGAACGCGCGCGCGCGCGCGCGCGCTCGAGAATCCGTCCCGACGCATTTAAACAGAACAGCGGACCCCGAGAGATCTCTCGGACGCTTCCGCTATTTTGGAGCCGCCGCGAATTACACAGCGCGTCCGTTCCTGCAGCTAACACTTTACTGACGTGCAAATTCACCACGGTACGCGGCTGTTATCCCGCGTTGGCGCTCACATCAGCGCACAATGCGCACCATAATAATTCGGGATGCTATCGCGCTCGGCGACTGTATACGAATTGCTCCGCGATCACCTCCGCGAAGGAGGCAACGATTGAGAAATTACGCGCGACCGTTTCGTGCGGCAACATGCACACACAGCCATGCATGTGTGCCGCTGCGATTATCCGCGATGAAATGCGGCGGTCGCGCGCACGGAGAACTCCGCAGAGCAATTCGTAATTACTTTCACCGGCAGATAATCGACGATTCAGAAATCTTGCGCGCAACCATTCCGCGACCAGGGATATGTGATTTTACGATATATCATAAGCGATTTTCTTTTCTTGAAACGTAATGAGGCATGCCCGTATGTGACTATGAATTGATGATTGAGGATTGCGGATTGAAGATTGTTATCCTTCCATTCTAATGTATATGCACGAACATCTAGCATTTGCTCTTAAGGCCAAATCTCGCTAGCGATTGGCGATTAACAATTAAAGATTAGATTTTAACGAATCAACAAGCTTCAGCCTTGGTTTGCTTTGTTTCAATTGGTCAAGTTCCAATCTTCAATCGTCAATCATCTATCGCCAATCGTTAATGTGATTTGACCTTTATAGGCCTTATCACTCTTAATTTTATAATTATTAGATTATTTTTAATATGTTTGACATATATTCAAACATTACGTTCCCATCATGCCCCAGATTCCTTTATAGTTAAAAACCACGCGCGATTTAAAATTGTATCCGTGATAAAAAATTGTGATGCGATATATCGCATCCGTTGCGTTTATTAGAAAAGATCGCATCGCGATGCACAATTTCATAAATCGCGCATACCCGTGACGCGCACTTGCGAAATTCCAAGAGTGCGCGTATCGTCAAGAAACGACGCGCAATTTCGAAATGTCTATTGCGCGCATTAACGGCGCATTAATTCCGCGGCGAGTTAGAATCGCGATGAAACTCCTGGTGTCAGGCAATCAGGATTCTACGAGCGTCCGTAATCGCGAACGGGATAAGCGGCGCAGTCGCGTGCGACTGTCACAGCGCGACGACACATGTTTGTCGAGAGTTGTACTTTCCGTCGGGGAAGACGCCGCGCGTGCGGCCAATAAAGCGGCGACGGGGTAAAAAGCGTCGGCGGAGGCGTCGTACGAGGGGCAGGGCCCAGCCGTCACGCACACGGCAGGCCTTGCACGGCGTAGCGAGGGTTCTACTGTTCGCATGCGACTGACCTGGGGGACAATTGCATTCGGAGATGTCGCGCTTGATCCTGAAGACCGCGCTGGGCTCGGGCGCGAGCCGTTGTCTCTGCACGAAGACATCCGACGGCGAGAGCTCTTGGACGTTGCAGCGGGCCTCCAGATTGGCGATCCTGGACTCCAGACCGAGCTCGCGGTAGTAGAGCACGCCGGACACGGCGAGGCTGGCCACGCAGAGGGCACACATCGCCCAGTTGAGGTCCGGGGCCCGCGCGCGGCGGACCTCCTCGCGGAACTTGCGCGGCATCGACGCCTCCAGGCAGGACGAGCCCTTAGTCGCCGGCGCCGACGACCAGGACTCGCCGGCGGCCGCCGGCTCGTTGGTCCCCATCGTCGCACGCCGATGTCGCACGCACGCACGCACGCACGCACGCACGCACGGACGGTCGTGCCGGGCTACCGGGGACTCGCGGGTGGACGCGGTACGCGCTGGGAAGCGTCCCTAAGCGGCGCGGCGCGTCATAACCCGCGCGGGGTTCGTCGATACGTCACGTCACGTCGCGTCGCGTGATTCGGCCGATTCGCGGATTCAGACGGACGACGGTGACGGGAGTACGACGCGACGGTCACGGCGGCTACGCAACTGTTACAGGCGTCGCGGCGACGTCGTCGTCCATCTGGAATGCATCTCGAGCGCGCGACTACCACTCACCCCGTTTCCGCGTTCTCCGTGTGTCTCTGTATGTGTATATGTGTGTGTGTGTGTGTGTGTGTGTGTGTAGGTGTGAGAGCTGTTACTCTCGAGCGTCGCGTGCCCGTCGTCAGACTCGCCACTCCGCGAGGATGTCCTTCGCTCGACCTCGTCCAGCACGGTGAGCGATGACACGATGCTCGTCGAATTTACCGGCGGTTAGCTCGCGTCGTCGCTCGCGCGGGACGAGACGGACCGTGCGTTTGATCGTGCGTTCCGCAGCGGCCAATCACAGGCCGCCTGCTGCCTGCGCTACTGTCGCGTACTTGGCGCGCTACCACGCTTGACTCGCGCACTTTCTTTTCCACAACATCGAGAAGAATCGGTCTCTCGCGACGGCGGGGCGGCGCCGACGTCGGTCTCGTGCCGATCGCGGGGAACACGAAGAGCAGCACGCGCTCGCGCTGCGCCTCTCCCGCTCTCCCCCCCGACTTACCGTCTCTCGCTCTCCGTCCGCCTTCTCGCCGACGACGCGTCGCGAAAACGGGAGAAACGCGCGCGCCGAACACGGCTAACTTCGCGGCGCTCGGTGGCGCGCCGCTGCTCTTCGCCGCTTTCCTCTTTCTCTCCCTTTATCTATTCTCTCTCTCCCTCTCGCGAGGGAGCTCCGACGCGGCAGCGGGACGGGAGCGCGAGAGAGCGTCGCGCGGAAAACGGAACGATATTCGAATTGGCGTGCTCTCGCGACACGTCGGCCAGCCGTAGTTCACGAGGGACAAGCGGCACGGAAGAACGCGCGTACGAAACGCACGATATGGCATTCGCGGTGCGACTGGATGTGGTGGGGCGACGCTCGCCGAGGACGGAGGGTTCGTCGCTTCGGCAACGCTCGACGACGCTCGTACGTCTTCGGCCGCCGCGACTCCTCTACCGGCCCGCCGGACGCGCGCGTCGAGGACGATCGGTCGACCTAACGTCCACTTCCATTCGCACTGATTCGCCCCCTGCGCTTCATTCTCCAGGCAGCCGCTGCGCCGTTCGCCACCTACCCGCCTCTGTGTGTGTTGTTCGCCTCTGCCCTTTACCGCGAGGCGAGCGGGCGGATTCGGAGCGACAGGATATAGCCTCTTTTTGTTTTCCCCCTTTTTCTCCTTTCAACGTCCATTATCCACTCGGATTACACGCCGGAGGATTCCGCTTTCGTTCGCGCGCCCGTGCACGCGTAAACGGCTTTAGCATCGGCAAGATTGTTTTTCGCGCCGCGCGGACGCGCGAGGATTCTCTTGCACTCGCTTTTATTTGCGAACGCGCATTGTCGACTGCCCAGAGAAAGGATAGAATTTGAAAAGTTTGACTCGGCCAGTGATAGGTGTCACAGCGAAAATCAAATAAATTTGAGAGCACAAAGCATTACCAGGACTGCAAAGGACCGCTGAGCTCGATGTTAGCGAGAGAGAGAGAGAGAGAGAAAAAAGGACGATTCTCTTAAGTTTCCGTAGACATGGTTGCATTCAGAGCAATGCCCGAGAAGGCGATCAGAGTGCAACCTTAGACGCAAGGAGGAAGACAGTGAGGTTTTTAGTGGGTATACTCTCCCCGGTTAGGGGGAGAGGGAGTCCCACACTGCCCCGGGTAATTCCCAGTCCGGGGCGTGCGTAACGCATTTTCCTCACTTATAAAAAAAAAAAAAAAAAAGTTTCCGTAGACATAGAATTATATCTAGTTATGAGATTGGTGTTATATATGTATGTGTGTTCATGCGTGAGTGCGTGTGTATGTGTAATATTGTCTTTAGTATCAAGAGAGTAATTTCTACACAGCTTGATATTCCCACACAGTTCTTACAATTAATAATAATCAGTTATCAAGAAAATCAGATTTGCTGAATCAACTTCTAAGAAGCTGTAGAAAAGGTGAAAGAAAATACATAGGACACGACAGCTAAGGCCAGGAATCGAACTCGAGAACCTTTCGCTATCCAGGCGACTGCTTGTCTAACTAAGCTACCCAATCCACACTTCCCTTCCTCCCTTTCTCTCTTTCACTCCCTCACTACCCCTCTTACTCTTTATGTAATAAATGTTTTTATATATAATACTATTATTATTATATATAATTAATATATTTTATATATAAAAAAAAAATATATATATATATATTTATATATTAATATATTTGTATAAGTGCACTTAGTTACACACAACGAATCGCGAGTAAATTCATTTTCAGCCGAACTTGCGAATATCCTTGATGCATACAAATTCAATACTTAGGGAATAAGACGCTAAGAGCGATCAGAATTCAAGAGTGGGAGGAATATTGCATGCGAAAAAACAAGTATCTTACATATTTTTGTTAATCGACGAGTGTCTCGCATACTGGTTGCTCGCTTGCTCGCTTATGTGTTCCTTTTTTCGTCGTTATTATTATTCGTCGTGCGACATGGCTCGCGGCACTAGACACTTCCCTAAACTCCGCGTTATCGCACAAAGGGGTAGAGGATGAACAGAGTTAGGCAGATGAGTTCGCGAAAACACTTGAAAATTTGCAGAAAAGCGCGCGCACGACTGCACTTCCGAAACATTTTTTGGGGAAAAAGAGGAGGGAACGTTCAACAACTTTCCGTGCGATATTCATTGTTAAAATTTTTACCATCTCTGTTTCGACGAACGCTGCCGGCGTATTGTTCCACGAGGAATTTCAACGCAAAGATAAAAATTAAAATGTTAATACACGCAAGGAATGTTGCTCACCGCCGTGTTGGTCCCGAAAATCAACTGGATAACAGTGCGTTTCCGTGCGGACGCACTTTTTTAAATTAAAAATACCCCGTGTGCATTCTTGAACAACTTGCTGCGTGTCGCCAAATACGCTACGACATTTCGCAGCATGAAAATTTGCCGTGGAACGCTACGCGTGTAATTAAAAGCAAGAGATTCTCTCCGAGAGACGAGGGAATGATATGGTTATTATCGTGGACTGGCCGGGAACATCAATAGCGAAATCGATGTCCTGTCAACGCCCGAGTCAATTATGGTATGAGAAGCCCGTAAATGAGAATCTCATCTTCGTTCCGGCCGCGCGGAATATGAAATCAGTCTCTAAACCGAGTCTGATTCTCAACAGGGTGAAATTATTGTCAATTTATCTCTGTACGTCGTTCGTATTATAGCTACGTGGAATACCGCGATGAATTAGAAATGCCGCAACTGCTTATAGTCTCTGTATAGTCTCAACTTCGATCGTGCAAATTCTAAATAAGGAACAGGGTTTTCCACCCTTTCCTCCTTCCCCGCGCACGCACACACACACGTACACGTACACACGAAGGTATCGCTACCCTGTGAGTTTTATCGTATCACAGTCTTTCTTTATCTATCTCTTCTCTTGGAGGAAATCTCCTAAAAAAGAAGATAAAAAAAGATGAAAACTGCTGGATGCAATCGTTAGCCCGTTAGCGATAAACTCGTTCTTGTATATCACGCGTACAATGTGTCCCATATTCCTCGGGGATTTTAACTGAGAGAATTTTTTCGCGCTCGCACGATTTCTTGCGTAAATTCGATAAATATATCCCCGCGGATATATCTGCAGGTATATTTATTAAATTTCGGAGCTGCATGGAATATCGAGTTTTACGAATTTCTTGCCTCTGTCGAATCCAATAACGGAATACTTTCCATCTCGTTGTTCCCGAATTAGGAATTGCAAATGGAAAATTCTGCCGTGCCGTACCGTGCCAATGCACAATGGTGGAAACCTCGACAGACTTTTGTGATCATCGCGACATGAGACAATCGGCGATGAGAACTTTACAACTTTTGTAATTATACTTATGAAGCAAGTGTAATGTACTGAATTAATCATAAATTTACATCATACAAGATAAATTTTTCGACGCAGCAATAAATTCGCAAAAGATTGCACTCAGATTTTCCTATCATTTACATCTTACATGACACGTTATTTTGAGGAAATTTCGATAATTATTTTCGTATTTCTATTTCTTCATTTTATATGATAAATATGAATTCTATATAACTCACTGACAAGGGGCGACTTTTATAAATCAAGTGACAATGTTGCTGCCAAATTTACGTACACGGAGAGAAGTAGCGGCAATTGACTATGTTTCTAACGAAACACAAGTAAAATTCCAATGAAATTTTCTATAATATTTCCTTATAAATCTTATCGACAATTTATTTTCTTGTACCACTACACACAGAAGAATACCCAGACAAATTTTTACGACGTGAGACAATCATTGAAAATTGTACAATTGTTTTAATTAAATTTATAAGGCAAATATACTTTACTGAATTAATGATAAGTTTAGCATTTCGATAAAAAATATTAAAAAATATTAAGACAAAGATTCGACCTGTTTACTACGTAGAGTAAAATCAACTTTTTCTCGGATAGAGTTTTATAATATTCTTGCAAAAAGAATAAATTCTTCTTTTGAGCTCATGATAATGAGCTTTCCTCAAATTTGTGATTATATTAATTATAAGACTGTTATCAAGAGAACACTCTTCGTTGAAGAAAACCATTACTTAAAAGAAGGAAAGCAAACAGAGTAATTGCTTTTCTCAGCAGAGTGAAATGATATTTTTCTGTGTCTAGGAGCCCAGTAAAATTGAAAAGAATACACATGAAAAAGACTATAATATATTTTCCCCAAGCATACACCTATCTGGACTATGACTCGATTTTAGCGTAAGAATGCCCATCACCGGACGATTGGTTCGTCATATCTTGAGACAACGTAATATCTGTGCGACTCGTCCCTTGATAGCTATTAATTAGAGGCGGTTCTAAAGGTATCGTTGCCTCGGGCTAAAGAGCCATGTGAATTCTCGTTTGGCGCTTCGGCTTCGTTGCTTATGCAAGCCCGTCGCGCATGCACAGCCCCAATTCGTTTAATTCGAACGCAAGGACCTCGGCCAGAGATCTCTAGCCGAGGTCCTTGCGCATCTTGCCGGGACCTTAGACGAGCGTTTAATTCAAGCTCATGCAAGTTCGAGGCATGGCGAAGCCGTTATTCATGCAAAGCGAAGCATTCGCGTGAGGCAGCGAGAGAAGGAGAGAGAAAGCGACTTATATATGCCGAGTCCTTGACAAATGTAGAATATTTTATGCTTAGTTATACACAGACACATGTGTTGTTCTTCTCGTGCTGTCTAACATAATGTGGGACACATGTTAAATCATTCTACTTACGGTCTGCTCCGAATAACAAATAACGTCGCTACCTGCTTGCGCAACTCGTGGCGGTTCGCGTCGACGTGAGACGTGCTCTCGTATAGAAGCAATAACATATTAACGATAACGATATTAACGACTATCTGGAGATTCACGCGGCCATCCATGACAACCCATCGGATATTTGTTCCGTCTGAGGTTGCAGCAGCAGCAGCAGTAGTGGCAGTAGCAATTGCCAAACCACCCTGTATTAGGGAGCATTGATCGGCGGGATCGATCGTGTCTCCGGTTGTGTACACGCGCGACGGATACGTACAACGAGCGACCCTTCACTACCACCCAATCGGCTAGGCACAGAGAGAGAGAGAGAGAGAGAGAGAGAGAGAGAGAGAGGCAGAGAGGGAGGAAGCGATTATAGACTACATCCTGGAGCGCTCGCCCTGTGCACGCTCGCTAAATCGAATACCGGTGCGGCGTGCGCGACGCGAAATCGTCGCGAGTGACGGCGAATCGATACGAGAAAAAGAGAGAGCAGCGATTCCGCTGTTTATACGAATATACTCGCCGCTCGTTATTCTCAACGAGTGTCGGTTGACGTCGCAACGAGTCGAGTGGTCGCTGCGAGACGCCGAGAGTGTCTCGACTACGATTACCCGCTTCCGTTTGTTTATCGCACGTTTGCGCGTGCATTTTATATTATGAAAAAGAAATTGCAT